TTTTAGTGCTGGGGAACAAAGCCAGGGCCTCATGCTAGACAGGTGCTGTGCTTGTGAACTACATCCCTAGCCCCATGTTAAATTTTTTAAAGCACAATAAAAGTATGTACTTTTAAAAGAAAGTTCAGTATGCGCCATACTCGCCCTTGGAGAACTCTGGGAAAAACCGGTCATTACTGATGACTCCTGAGCTGGGAGTCCCAGACCTTGGTGGCCAGAGCGCTCAAGGAGATTATGCATTTACCCTGGTGAGAGTTGCACTGGCCACCAAAGATGCCAGTCAGGATCCTCCCGAGCAAACCCCGGCGCTTTCTCCTTCTGCCCCGTGTTGACACAGATCCCGTTAAACACACTGGGTACTTTCTGGCCGGGTTTATAGTTTTATTGCTTCTCTGTACCACATCTATTCAGATTTTTCTTTTAAAAAGCTATCATATGAGCAGATGTTTCTCATCGCAGGGACCCAGGGGAAAGCAGCAAAAGGCACCTAGGGACAAGAAGTCCGAAGACCATCTCTGAAGTGTAAGACTGTCCCTCTGTCACCTCCAAAACATGCTTCTGCTTGTGAGTAAATCAGGCATTGGAGTCTCCAGGGCACCCCCTGTCAGCAACCCCCTCAAGTTTCCCCATATCAGCCTCTACGCAGCTGTGTGACCTTGGGCAATCCCATTATCCTCTCTGAACTTCCATTGCCCTGTGGAAAATGAGGTGAATGATGACTGCCTTGACCACACTGCTCACTCCAGAATAGTCTAGAACAGTCTAGAATCTTGGGTGAGAGGACACTGGGATGAGCTTTGGTCACCCAGTTCTGGGTGTGTGTTCAGTCCTGTCATGCATGAAGACATGGCTTGGGTCTGCTTCCCCTTCTATAAGGTCATTTGTGCCTGGTACAGTTACAGTGGACAAGGGGACCCAGCTGTCCTGGCTCTCACCCCTCTGGCTGTTCACACCTGTGGCGAGTGGGTGGGCTGCCTGACCTGCTAGGCCAGGAGGTGGCACCACCCCACCCCTACCCACTGCCTCGTTAAAGCCAGGGCACCTGCTCACTGCCAGAACACAGCCTGGTATGTTAAGCAGTGCTCCCCACTTCCATAAGATGTGTCTGTCCAGGGACTATGAATGGGACCTTGTTTGGAAATAAAGTCTTTGCAGGTGTAATCAAGTTAATGATCTCAGGATAAGATTTAGGGTGGGCCCAAGTCCAAACACTGATGTCCTTGTTTGAGGCTACAGTTCCCATCTCATTAAACCTGCTGTAAATTTTTATGCATCCTGCCTTGTGCCTCGCACCTGCCCAGGCACAGGGTAAGGATGAGACAGATCAGAGGGCTGCTGCCATGGTCCAAGGGATTCCAGGAGCAGCTGGAAGTCAAGGGAGCAGCGTCCCTAGAGTCTTTGGAGGGAATGTGGCACAAATAACACCATAGGAAGTCAGCACTCAGAGAGACCCTGTTAGAAAAAATGGCAAAGAACGTGGGTTCTGGAGCCAGAAGGCTTGGGTTCAAGTTCTGGTTCCTCCCCTGAGTGGATGGAAGACACTGAGCAAATTACTGATTATCCCTATGCCTTGATGTCCCTGTGAATAAAGACAGAAATCAATAACAGAACTGCTCTCCTAGGGTTTGTTGTGAAGGTTAAATGAGATAATAGATATTTAGAACAGTGCCCAGCATGTAGCAGACCTTCAATGCATAGCAGTGATATCTATCTACTATTTATTTATTCGTGTATTTATTTACTTTGCAGTACTAGAGATTTAAGCCAGGGGCATTCTACCACTCATTTATATCCCAAAACCTTTTTAATTTCTATTTTGAGACAGGGTCTCCTAAATTGCCCAGGCTGAGCTTGAGCTTGGCATCTTTCTGCCTCACTCTCCCAAGTAGCTGTGCTCACAGGTATGCGCCTCTGTTCCTGGTGGCAATTTTTATTATTCGTATCATACCGAGACCCTCTGGTCAGTGTGGCTTCCCTGATTGCTCTTCCTGGGGCAATAGCTCATCAGCGTTCCTGTTCCCGAGCTCTGCGTGCCGGGGTCAGTGTTGTATTCACCTAAGGGCTTCGAGCATCTATGAATTCTTCCTTCCTGTACCCTCCCCAGCCACCACCAAATCTGAAAGCTGCCTTCCCCCAGGCCTCATGGCCCAAGCAGAAGTGACCCCTGCTGCCTCCTCTGCACCACCACCCCCTCCCCACCTTCAGACCCCCCCCCCGGGCAGCTTCAGCAGCAGGCTGGGCTGTGATGGCTCTTTGTGCACCGTTCCCATCTCGTTAAATCAACTATAAACGTTTTATTCCCCTGCTTTGTCCGGAGCACCTGCTCAGGCAGAGCCAGCCCTTGCTCCTGAGTGTTTGCAGAGTGACTGAGTTTATTGCTGTCTGTGTACACCAGCGCGTCCAACTCTGTACCCCACATGGCTTCAAAGGTTGCCTTTGTGTACGAGGAGCTGTTCTTACCTCCGCTGCATTCTTCCTGATTTTATAGATATTGAGTACTGCTTCCCCTCCCTCTTCCCAGCTGGGCTGAGGTACTCTGATCCCTCTGGCACTGTCACTTTATTCCCCTGCTCCAGACCCTCTGAGGAGCTCGCCTCCACCATGACTAGGAACACTTTGGAACTTGGGATTTGCAAAACAGGAGGCACATACTTGTAATCCCAGCAGTCTGGGAGGCTTAGGCAGGAGGGGTGAAAGTTTGAGCTCAGCCTGGGCAGTTTAGCAACTTAGCAAGATCTTTTCTCAAAATAAAAAATTTTAAAAGGTCTGGGGATGTAGCTCAGTGTGAAGGCCCTGAGTTCAATCTGCAGTACAGGAAAAAAAAAAAAAAAACAGGATACAAGTTCCCATTCTCATGTTGATCCCTGGTATTTTCTGGTTTTTGAGCCCCTGTAGCATCACGTGAAAAATGGCAACTTCTGGACGGTGCCCCTAGGGGCCTTTTATGAGCCCCGGGCCTCCAGGACAAGCCAAGAGACCCCAGGCCAACCGGAGACCCTTGTCACCAACCAAAAAGAGGCTCCTGCCCTCCCCGTCAATGGAGCCCCTCAGTGCCCCCACAGCCCACCTACGAGTACAGCCTCCATTCCCATGGGGGATGCTGGGTCCCTAAGTCCCCATTCCAGGCCTCTCTGATGCCCATCCGCCCTGGCAGGGACATTACCAGCCCCACTAAGCCCGCCGAGGCTCCTCTAGGTCCAAAAGCCTCAGCGTGGCTCTCCTGTTCCTCAAGTGCTCCCGTACCAACTTCCCCTGCCCCAGGCACACACCCCAGGCCTCCCACCTTCATACACCTGGGTTCCCCTGAGCGGCCACATCCCACCTTCTCCCTGCTGTCTGCTCTCCCAAGCCTAACCAGGCTCCCTGAGAGCTGGGAGCTGGAGTACCAAGAGGAGGGGAGAGAGCAGAAACTAGAGATGCCACCGCAGCCCCTGACCTCACATCTAAACAGCTCCCTGCGGAGCCAGACTGCAGGCCTGGTGGGTGGGGTTGCAGAGGGCAGAGGTCCTCCAGGGCCCGAGGGGCAGAAAGCTCAAGCCCATTATCAAATGACTGCAGTACTATTCAGTCTTTCCTGTGTGGCCCCTGGTAAATCACTCACTCTCTCTGAGTCTCAAGTCCCAGTCCATCCTGACTTCTTACACAATCCTCCCTGTGAGAATCGGAGCTACTAGGTGTGAAGCAGCTTTGGAAACGCGAGCCCTCCGAGGGGAGGGATGGGGCCTCGGAGTCCTGAGTGGCCCTTTGCTGCCTCTTGCCTGCCCCCGGTGGCACTTGTTCTGGACAGATGTTCCCCCTCCTCTTATATCCTAATGGACTCATAGGTACTGTCCCCACACAGTTTTAAGCACCGGCAGGACAGGACCTGGCTGACTGGTCAGGATCTGTCAGGTGTGGCTTGGGCACACACAGGCAACCCGACTTTGGGCTGCTGGGCCCTTCATCATTGTCATCATCATCGCCACCACCCCCTCCTCAGATAACATACCCAGAAAGGGGTCCCCAGAGCCACCAGCCAGGCCTGGGTAGCAGAGACAGGAGGAGCCCTCCCAGGACAGACCCCTGCCCATAGTCTCCTCCTCTTGGCATATAACTTGAAAGGAATATGTCCGCTATTAATGCATTTGCATGGTGTCCCTAAATCCATGCAGCCCACCCCACTCCTCATCCACCCCTCCAAGGTTCCCCCAGCACACCTGTGTCGGGAAGAAGGAGGTCCGTCACGGCCAGGCTGCCAAAGTGGCTACGAAGGCCTGAGCTCCTGCCTGGGGTTGTGGGATTCTGCATGGGTTACCTGACGGCTGTCCCCAAAGGCCCCAGACACCCCCGCCCCAGCTCCTTCTGCCACTGGATACGCCCACAGCTAACTCCAGGCCTCCCTGTACCACCCGGAGCCTCTATCCCTGGTTTCCCTTTTTCCTGCCCTCCTCCCGCAGGAGCTCTTCCCTACCTCGGGAGAATCAGAAAGCATGAATAAGACAGCTTACCACCTGTCACTTCCCAGGCTTGGCTGTGACACACTCCACAAAGGCCATCCCACAGCCTGCATCTCCCCGCCCAGGCCCTCAGCCACATCTAACTGAGTGTGTGTGTGTGTAGGGGGGGTTTCCCAGGTGCATCTGCAGCTCCCCCCAGTGAAGAGCAGAAGCTGCCCAGTGACCCCCTCAGACACCTTCTCTCCCTGCGAGGGCCCTGGAGAACAGAGCAATGGGGAGCACAGGGTGTGCAGAAAGAGCCCTCAGCAGGAGAGACAGATTCCAGCCATCCCTGTCAGGAGGCTGCACTGGGGACATCAGTGGTACAACCACAAAGGCATCCATTTCTCCAGCCCTGCAAGGCCTCATAGTGGCCCTTTTAGCCCCAAAGGCAGGTGGAGGTCGCATCACAGATCTCCAGCTCTTTGGCAGCCCCCTCCCCTGCCAAGGGAAGCCGCCACTTGCAGCCCTGCCTGGCCCAGGCACATGCAGTGATGGCTTCAAGCGGGGCAGCCTGGCTCTTACCCTCTGGTGGTGATGTTGAAGTCGAAGCAACAGTGGACGTCCAGAGCTGGAGGGCCAGCGGCAGAACCCAGATCACCAGCATCTCCCAGGGCGCGGGCCCCTGGCGGCAGTACCTTCCCTCTCTGAGGGACCAAGAAATGAGAGGCTCGCAGGGAGGGAGCCGCTATATAAAGGACGCTGGGGACCTTTGCCTTGGGAAGGACAGTGCCTGCCCTGATGCCTGACCCAGGATGGGAGGCTAAGGTGATGCCACAGGGTGGGTAGCATGCAGTGACCACAGGGAGTGGGCTAAAGGGCACCCTGTCACCCTCTAACTCTAACTCCTGATGTGATGACTGCTCCGCCAGAGTCATTTCAGGAAGCCAAGTCACTGGGTGGAGCAAGCAAGACACAAAGGAGGGACAGGAAGCAGAGGTGTGACAGCAGATGGGGGCGGGAGGCCCCAGGGAGGGGGCGCATCAGCATCCCCTGAGGGATAGGTGTCTCCCCTGAGGCCAGCCTGGGGGAAGAAAATTCCTTACCCCGAGGACACTCCTTTATTCAGCCTTCCCCATCGACCACCTCAAGCTGGTCCCTTCCAAATTTCCAGTACTTTCCTGCTTTCGGGTGGGGCCTGGGGCACGTGTTCACATGAGACTTTATGGCCTAATCTCCACCCTGGCCAGAGTCAGAGGTGAGAGAAGCCATGGCCAGTCCCTGCCCAGGGCAAAGGTCCTAGGCACCTCTCCCAAACCTCCACACAGACAGCCACCGGGGCAGGTTGTTCCCGGCCGTCCCGGCTCTGGTCACGCAGGACTGACTGCCCACAATAGTGGGATGGGAGGGCCCAACCCTGGCATGGACCAGCCCTGTGGTGAGTACGTGTTTGCGGAAGGGGCTGAAGGTCTTTGGGAAACTACGCTTTACACATGTATGCGAAGGCAGCCTCCCCCAGGCTGCTCTTTCCCTTGCATGTTTACCTGGCAATGGCATTCACTGTATTTTTTATCACACCTCATAAACACACGCAGGAAAGAGGACTTCCAGAACTCCAGAAAGTAGAAAGAACCATGTGATAAAAATGTTCAAAGCAAAGTAATTTGAGGGTGATTAAGCAAAGTAATCTGAGGGGGATTAACGGCATGTAGCTTTTATTGTAATGATTGTTTTATTTAAATACACAGCACAGTTTTTGATCAGTCCTTGTACAACCACGACCCTCAGGGCTGCCCACAGCCCTCCCTAGGAGAGAGGGGTGCGTGCAGGGCTCGCTGACATCTGAGTCTGAAGTCCCTGCTCTGCAGCCAGATGGAAGACACAGGGAGAAAGGAGTGACCCACAGCAGCCTCTTTGACGGCAAGTGCTATGTTATGTTTGCATGAGGAGCTCCAGACTTGCCAAATCCCTGTCCCCCAACCCAATCCTCCCGGCAAAGGAGGCCAGGCTGAGGGCAGAGCAGGGGGTGGTGGCACAGCGTAGGGGGAGTGGGAAAGGGTAGAAAGGAGCTGGCGAGGATGGGGCAGGAGGGGAAGAAGGGTGAGGGCAATGAGGAGGGAGACTCACTCCCCTTCATCTTTGGGGACCTGGGGAAATTCATGCCCCCCATGTGGTTTCAGGGCCTTTGAGGGGTGGGAGGACAACTGGAGCTTCCGAGTGGGCCTCAGGGCTGGGAGGGCAGGCTGGGGGAGCCTAAGACACTGGGTATCTGCACCTATCTAGGAGAGGGGCGTGTGGAGGAGACAGGATTTGGTGCTGAGTGTCCGAGGGTGGGAAGGGGGAATACAGAAAGCAGGGAGCTATAGGGCTGCGGAGGAGACTGATATGAGGAATGGCTCAGAAGAGGAAAAGATTTAAAGGAGAGTAAGGGTCCCAGCAAGGAGTTATATAGGGGATGGGCTCCAAATTGGCCATAGGCTCAGGACGAGGGACAGGGGACTTCAAGATGATAACAGGGCGCAAACAGGAAAATAGGGACCCAGGCCTAAGACTGAGGGTGTGAGAGCCTGGATTAGACGATGTAAACATGTGAGCTAAGACAGGAGGGTGGACGGGGACAGAGAACTGACCAAACCCAGCGGTTTTCACAGTTACTGTAGGAGGTACCAGGACAAGCATGTCATACCCGTTTTCAAGGTGAGGAAACGGAGGTGGGAGAATACTGACTCGCTCAAGTTCCCACCGTGGAGGAGCCTGGATGTGAACGGGGTCTCCGGGTGGGTTTCAGCCAAGTCGGGAGAAGGGTGGGGGTCAAGGGGACAGTCTGCTTTTGCCCAAGGACACTTGGGAGCTTGGGCTGCAGAGGTCGTGCGAGTATCTCTTGCAGGGACCTGGTGTAGGTGGCTCCCTCCTGCTGTCCTGGGCAGGGTGGAGGTGTATGGCTCACATCGAGGACAAGGCCATCTCAGGTCTCTGGATGTGCACCTGTCCCAAGTGTGGGTGAGCAGAGTGAGGAACGGAGCCCCATGCTGGGCTTGACCCAGAGCTCCTGGGAGAGGCCTTGCTCCCCCACCCGCCTCACCTGCACATTGGGGTCCACCGTCTGCAAAGCCACTTGGAAGTTTGCATCCTTGGCTAGGGAGAGAGAAGGGAGAATAGGTCGAGGGGAGAGGAAAGGAGGGATGGGGAGGGCCCTGGGGGAGGCCGTGCAGGGAAGGGCAACATCTCCCGCACTTCAGTCCTGGGCTGGGGCGGTGGTTCCGTCCTGCCCAGGTCGCAAGGGTCTCAGGGAAGCCCCTCCTGCCTTCCCAGCTGACAGGACTCACCTGTCCTGTCATCCTCGAAGCCCTTGTTGAAGAAAGTCCCCTTGGCGTCATCATCCCAGACCTCGAACCATTCCCTATCGTCTGCCCTGGACCTAGGCAGAGGCGTCGCGCGGTCAGGCAGGGCTGCCCACCCTGAGACCCCTGCTGCCCTCGTTGCCCCTCGCCACCTCCCCAGCACCTCACCGGCTGTCCTTCCTCCGGAACTGCATTACCCAGAAGCTCAGCACCCCCAACAGCACGAGCAGGAGCAGCGCACCGGCGCCCGCCAGCCCCCCGACCAGCGCCCTCCAGTGGACGGCCACTTCGCAGCGCGGGCCCGAGAACCAAAGCGTATCGGTGGAGAAGCAGCTGGGGAGAGGTCACAGGCCTCAGACAGCTCACAGGCGGGCGGGCGGGGCTCTACCCAGGGGAGGGGCGGGGTTCACCCTAAGGAGGATGGGCGGGGCCTCGGGAGGGTATCCAATCTGGGTGCGGGGCGGGGCCAGGGGCGGAGCTCTCTCTGAAGAGAGGGGGCGGGGCACTGGGGGCGGGACTCCACCCTAGGGCTCAGCCTGGGAACTCGTAGCCTGGCAGTGCTCAGGGCCTTGGGACTCTGGGGGTGGGGGTGAGACAGCAGGACGAGACGGTGGGCGGGCCGTGGGTGGACGAGGCCCGCAGAGTGGGTGGTGGGAGGGGCTTCCTGGGGGCGGGGCCTCACCGGCAAGCGGGCCCACTCTTCTCTAGAAAGCACTGGCCCTGGTTACAGTCGATGGCACCTGCCACGTCCGAAGTGCAATTGGTGACGCAGCGAAGCCGGTTTCCTTCCACCAAGGGGAAGTAGAACTCCTCGTAGCCCTTGGCGACTGCTCTGCTGCAGATGGCTGGAGGGTTGGGGAAGGGGTTGCAGAGACAGGGAATGTGGTTCTGGTGACCCGAAACGCGTGGGAAGAACACTTCCGGGGTAGTACCGTGGAGCTGACCCTGGGATCAGATGGGACAAGCCCCCCTTCTCCTTGGCCCTCTCGCCTTACCTGCTGGTGCCCGCGCTGGAGCGTCAAACAAGGGCCAGGAAGGCCAGCCCTTTTGCCTCCCCAAAAGGTTTCCCTCCTCTCCCCAGGGAGCTACAAAGGGCCGCTGTCCCTGGTGGGAGGGCTCATGGCCACCTGAGGCCACTCAGGCCTTTGCCTCACCCTCACCTTTCAGGTTCAGTTCTGTCCCGATGGTGTTGTTCACCTTGATGGAGTCAGGCTTGAAACACAGAGCTGGGGGGACACAGGCACTGATGGAGCGGATCCAAGCAGGTATGGGGAGGGTGGGAGAGGGCGCGCTGGTGTTCCCAGACGTGGTGGGGCCATGAGGGAAGACAGCTGTTGCCTCCCTCCTCCCCTAAATAATCAGGTGTTTTCAGCCATCGTGACACACTCATCACACCTGCTAGGAGTCTCTTCCCCAGCACCCAGGTCTGGTAAGACCCTCTGTAGTCCCACCCTGTGCCCTCTTCCCCATCTGCCACGGGCACCGCAGTGCTGGCCCTTGAGCTCTAAGGGCACCCTGGTCCGTGCTGACCCAACTTCTCCCTCCAGCCCTGCTCACTCTGGTTATCCCGGCAGCTGTTCTCGCTCTTGCTGGCATTCTCGAGCTCCTCCTTAAGGATCATCTTCACATCCTCATACTCACTCTCCAGCTGGTAGCTGAAGGGCAACTTCAGCTGGACTAGATAGTCCACCACGATGCTGCCATTCCTGGGGGAGGCAGGGACCTTAGAAGGTGCTCAGGCCTGGGGCACATGGGTCCTTGGAGGACACCTCGAGGACCAACCACAAGTACAGTCACGAGTTGGGATGCCACCCACATCCTTCTCAGCCTGGCAAGGCCGGAGGAAGAATGATGGACGTTCTCCTTGTGCTGCATGAAGCTAGCACCAAAGCAAGTTCTCCTGGGCTGCCTGCCCCACTCCCCTCTCATGCTGACCTGCCTAAGAAGAGCCAGTGCCAGCTAGAGAGAGCCCAAGTCAACAGTCCCAGTGCCACCTCCCTACACATCCCATGCAATCTCTTTCTAGCGTGCTGAAGAGGAGGGTTCCCTCCTGCAGAGAAATGGCCCCAGATAATGATCACAAAAGCCCCCCTGAGTAATTCTCTTGCATACTCCTTCCGCCCCTCTCCTCAAGAAATCTGATGGTCCAGAAGCAGAGGGTGGCTTCTCCAGCCTTTCTTCACACCCTTTGCCACCGCTTAATGCTGCCACCACATCCTCAGGGTGGTCTCCTACCTCAGAGACAGGATCTTCACACCTTGGAACCCCTCCACCTTTTCGTAAATCTTCTTCATCTGAAATTCCAAGGATACCTGGGCTCATGTCTGAGCTGTGGGCCTGCAGATACCCAAGAACCCAAGCCCAGCTCCAGGGGAAGACCCTATGTTCCATCTTTTCTCCCCTTACCTCATTCTGGAAGATGTTGCTGAAATCTCTGTAGGCCTTGGAAGTGTTGTCTTTGAGATCTTCAGAGAACTCCTGGTCAACAGACACCTCCATGCCCACTTCGGCCTCAAAAGTGTCTGTATACAGCATGCCCAGCTTAGGTCATTTCCCATGTGCCCCCCTTTCTGCCATCTCTGCCACCACCTCCCTAGCCCCTCACTGCTCCCTCTGCCTCTCTCCACAGACCCTGGGAACTGGGTGAACAGCAGCAGGGAGAGAGGAAGCGATTCTGGGGTGTGGTGCCTGGACGTGAGGGAAAGAAATCAGGGTGTGTGACTGTCAAGCTGTGGTCCCTTCCTTCTCTGTCCCTGGGGTAGGCAGGATAACGGCCCCCAAAATGTCTCTGCCCAAATCTCTAGAAAGAACCTGTGAATGTGTTATGTTATATGGAAGTATAAAATTAGATTGCAGATAATCTGCATTATGATGCACATAAAATTCGATTGGTAATCAGCAGCCCTTCATAGGGAAAATTCACAAATACTATCCAAGTGAGCCCAGTGTTGTCCCAAGAGTCCTTAACAGGGAAAGAGGGAGGCAGAAGCCCCTGATAGTCAGTCAGGTGTGATTGGGTTGGGGGATAGCTCAGTGGCAGAGCACTTGGCTAGAATGTGCAAGGCCCTGGGTTCAATTCCCCAGCATCCCTCTTCCTCCAAAAAAAGAAGGAATAACTATGGAGAAAAGGCATAGAGAGATGCAGGTGCAGGGGCCTTGTCACAAGGAATGGAAGGCTCCAAAAGCCAGAAGTGGCAGGAATAGATTCTTTCCCCAAGCCTCTAAAAAAGAACAAGGCCCTGGTGACACCTGGCTTTTAGCTCAGTGAGACCCACATCAGAATTCTTCTGGGCTTGGAATTCAGCTCCAAGCAGCCCAGATTAAAATGATGCCCAGGATGGAGTCTGAAGCCAGTAACTGCCTGGTCCTGGAGATGAGGATGGAGAGGAGGACTGGCATGGGACAGCAGAGGGCACGGGAAAGAAGCCAGGGACGGAGGGACTAGAAGGATGGCGTGTGGGTGCCTCCAGGACAGCTGCACACATCTGCAGAGGACGTGCAAAGCGCAGGGCCCTGCAACTCACCTAGTTCTACCTGTTGTGCTGGATTTTCACAGAGGGAGCCATAGAAGGTGTTGGGGCAGAGGCACTTGAGGCCATCCCATGTCCCCCCATTCAGGCATTTAGACTGTTCACAGCGGTCCCCAGAGAAACCAGGAAGGCAATTGCAATGGCCTTGTTCCCAGACGCCGTTATTTTCACAGATACCTGGGAACGCAAGAAGAAAGGGAATTAAGGGAATTTAAATCGGACCTGATTGTGGTGACAGGAATTCAGCAAGGAAGGAAACAAAGAGAGCAGGAAGGAGGTGGTCCCACCTGGGGTGGTGGTCAGTCTTGCTACTGTGGTCGTCTGAGTAGTACTTGAAGCTGTGCTTGGTGATGTAAGGGTGGTAGGAGTCTTCGTGGTGGCCACTGGTCTCTCTGGAGTCCCGGTAGTGGGAGTGGTGGGATGTGTCAACTTGCTTGAAGTTGTGACAGTTGGAAGGTTGCTGCTTGGTTTCACAGTGGAGTCAGTCATACGAGGGGTGGTGACAGAACTGGTGCTCAGCCAGTTTTCGCTGGGTGTTTGGGTGCCAGTGGACACCGTGTTCACGGGTACTGTGCCAGTGCTGGTAGAGCTAGAAGTATCACTTGGGTTGTGAGTGGACTCAGTTTCTGGGGTCCTGGAAGGAGTGGTGTCCGTATATGCAGGAAAGATGGTTCTCTCGCTGGTAGGACTAGGACTGGAAACCATTTCAGTAGTGGACAGAAATACTGAGAATGGGGTCATAGGAGTCACTGTAACCTTCGTATTGGGATCCACTTCAACATGTGGGGTCGTGGGAGAGGGAGGGACTATTGTAGTGGAAAGAAGGGAAATATAAGAAAAGGGAGTTGTTTCGGTGAGAGTTATGGCAGGTGAGGAGATGGCTGGAGACGTTCTGGTAGTTATAGATGAAGACAAAGGAGAAGAAGCAACGGTGGAAGAACTCGTATACTGTGTGCTGGAGATGTGAGGGAAGGTAGGGACAGAGTTGGTGAGAGTGGTGTGCATCGGAGTGCTGCTGGTGGAGGAAGGAGCAGAGGACATTATTATTATGGATGGTGTTGAAGGCATCAGGGTACCAGGAGAGGTGCTCATTGCACTTGTAGATGTGCTACCCTGAGAGAGCGATTCTGTGCTGGACTCACTTGAGGAAGGGAGTGAGGTCAGAGAAATGGGAATAGACACAGAGGTCTTAAGGGTGGACAGGCTGGTATCTGTAATAGGGTCCTCTGCTGTAGACGTGAGCATGCTGAGGAGTGGTGATGCAGTCCAAGTGGGAGAGGAGGAGAGCACCATTGTGGTACCTGCCTTGCTTGTTTCTGAGCTAGGCAGAGAGGGGCTGGTAGGTGTGGCCATGGTGACAGTGGTTGGTGTGTCTGCTCTGCTGGTGGCAGAGGTACTCTCAGATGTGGAGTTCGTGACAACACCAGTGGGAGAGCTGGAGGAGGGGATGTCAGATGTAGTAGTGGACCTGGCATCAGTTGTTGGGAATGTGGTCCCCAAGGTCGACAAAGGGGCGGTGACTGTGGTTCTGAGGGTCGACAAAGGGGCGGTGACTGTGGTTCTGAGGGTGGCTGGTGAGACAGAGGTGGAAGGCAGGGGGCCACTCGTGGTTGATGTTACCGCACCAGTGGTCAGGGGAGGAGCGGTGCTGGATGTCCCAGAAGTGGGTACACTTGTGTGGGTGACAGCGGAAGCAGTGAGGGGGGTAGCAGTAATGTCCGTCTTGAGAG